AACCTATCTGTATGTGTATACACACACGTACACACACACACGCGTGTACACACACACACGTACCCACACACATACATACACACATACACATACATGTACACACATGTACACACACATACACGTACACACACGCGTACACACACATACACGTACACACACACGTACACACACACACAGCACTGAGGCATCTGAGGAGCTATGCTTAATCCTGTTGAGTTCAGCTGGCATTTCCTCCATTTAAAGCCCCATCGCCCTCTGCAGGCGCACTTCCCCCACCCCAAAAAGAGGAAAAGGTTCCTTGTCCTGTACCACAGGGGGGGCCCTGGCTTCCTTTGGGACAGGACAGTTGCCCTGGAGTGAGGGTGTTTTGTTTTTTTTTTTTAATTCATTTGAGACAAAGAAATGGAGCACAAGCAGGCGGAGTGGCAGAAGAAGAGGAAGAGGGAGAAGCAGGCTCCCCGCTGAGCCAGGAAGCAGGACATAGGGCTCGATACCAAGACTCAGGGATCATGAACTGAGGACCCAGGGATCATGACCTGAGCCGAAGGCAGACATTTAACCCTCTGAGCCACCTAGGTGCCCCTGAGGGTGGCTCTTTTGAAGATACTTCTTCCAACTGCTCTTCTGGAGAGAAACAACTTTCTCTCCAGAAAGGCTGTTTTTCTGTGGCAACAACTCTTAATGAAAACCATGCTCTCAGCTTGAACACCACAGCCAGCACAGCGGTTTATTTCCGCGAACCCTCCCTGGAAGCCTACTCCCATCAGTTTTCGGGGCCGTGTGGCTCCTCGGTCCTGGTGGCTGTGCAGCTGGAAAGAGGAGAAACTCGGACACAGTGGTGAAAATGGCAGCTGACTGGGAAGTAAGCTGGTCTCCCTGTGGAGTGCAGGGGACAGCCTGTAGCTCCACAGCATCAGAATGGCACTGGCAACAATTTGAGAAACCAAGTGCAGGGATATGGCCGCAGGAGGAGCAGAAATACAGTGCAGGAGAGCTGAAGAAACACTGAACGTTCTTCAGAAAGCTCAGTGACTGTGGTGGTGTACAGACCTTTGGCATCGGCAGAATCCAAACGCTTGGGCCTCTGATTAGAGTCAGGGGTTTCCTTCGGAAGGACTGCCAGCTCCACCGAGTTTGAAAAGGGTCCTTCTCCCACCTCATTGGATGCAGATATCTTGACAATGTACACGTTTCCTGCCACCAAGTTTTCTAACAAAGCCATGGTGATTGCCCCTGTAAAGAGATTGATTGCAAATTAAGTAAACCTTAATTTTTTCTCTTTTATTCATTCTTTCAAACACACCATCATGGTCCTTTATTTAACAAATATTTTCTGATTATAAAAGGAACACCGTGTTCATTGTACAGCGTTTGGAATCCACAGACAGGTATAAATAAGAGGACAATCTAATCTCCCTTTGTTAACATCTTGGTATATTTGTGTGTGTGCGCATGCACATGTGCATGCACATGAATGCACTGTACATGTGTGGGTACGTATTTACTACAGGCATTTTTTATATTTTAGAGTTTTCACTTAACTTTGTATCATGCACGCTGCCTCTATATAATCCTATGTAATTTTGTTTTAGGAGTAGTGTTCTAAAGTAATAGGTTTTTTTCTTTACATTTTTGTATGTTTTTTTACCCCCCAAAATTTATAAAATTGGATACAAACAGCATTAAAAACATTTTAGAATAGAATATTTGAAACATAGGTAAAGAAAGAATGTTTATAAGGAACCCAGATTCAACAGTCATAATTAGATTTTCTAGATCCAATATGAAAGGCTTTTTTTCTTTTAGAAATGTTTAGGAGCCCCTGGCTGACTAGTTGGTAGAGCATGTGACTCTTAATGTTGGGGTTGTGAGTGTGAGCCCCACACTGGGTGAAGAGATTACTAAAAAAAAAATAAAACTGAAAAAGAAAAAGAAATGTTTAAACTACTAAAGGTAATCACTGTGACAGATGATCTTTTTCTTAAATTAGAAACAATTATTTTTGAAAGTATGAATATGTTTCTTGCTCACCCAATCATTATCTAAGATTTCTTGGAAGTAAACAGGAAGGAAAATTCCAAAGTTATATAGGAACCTCAGAGTGTTGAAGACCTAGACCTCAGGTTAACTATCAAAACGACCACCAGTAACCTGCACAGCATCTACTTCTCTCCAAAGTCAGCATCACTTGAATTTATATATGATATTTGATATCAAAGGCATTTTCTCGGTTGGCATGATGGCTAAGAAGGATTGCTATGTGTGTACTAATACTCCTTGAGGGGTCTTTCTGCTTTTGGTTCTGCCATGGCCCGGAAAAATTTTTCTTTCAAAGGGGAGTCCCACCCTAGGAATGAACTTTCACGTTAAGAACACAGGTGTAACAATTCAACCACAAAGTTGTTCCAGCACGCACTGCATCTGTGAGTCGATATTCACAGGGAACCTAGCTTCCCTCAGGTGATGGCATCTCACTCCCCCCACCCCCCCCCACCCAGAACATCCTTGTGATAGCTTTGAAGAACTTAACGATAGCTTGTAGCAGTCACCTCCAGGCCAGACTGGACTATTCTCTTACACTTGCTAGAGTATATTTCATTATGCAAGTGAAATGTGGGTTGATCTCAGAGCTCAGGTCAGGATTCGGAGGCCACCTCTGAGGTCACATGGTGTGAGGCAGCTCAATCAAGCAGCTATGCGAGGGCTGAATATGGCTTGTTTTCATGTTCTCTGGTTTCAGTCTGGCCTGAAGAGAGTGTGAGCTACTTGAGTATACAACTGTTAAGTAAACAAGCTGACTCTTATTTAGAATCAGGAAGAGTCTTTCTACTGTTACCATGTTCTCAGACAGGTGAATAAAAACCAAAAATGTATTGTGACATGTTAAAATTAACTAGAAGGAAGAACATTTCAATTTCTTCACAATAGACATATAAATAAATTGAGTTTCCATTTTAGCAGAGAATACTTCACATTTAATTTTTAAAAACGCTTGGCAAAAACCAGTCCCTACCTGAAATTAAAAGTTTTTTTTTTTTAAGATTTTATTTATTTATTTGAGAGAGAGGGAGAGTGAGGGGGAGAAGCAGACTCCCCGCTGAGCAGAGAGCCAGATGTGGGGCTTGATCCCAGGACCCTGAGATCATGACCTGATCTTAAGGCAGAAGCCTAACCAACTGAGCCACTCAGTTTCCCCAAAAAGTCTTTTCATATAATTCAGGTTTTATAAGCAAATGAGCTGTGTGGATGTGTGCAAGTGCTCCCGTTCCTTCCACAAAAAGAGTGTTCCTTCACACAAAAAAAGGAAACTAACATTCTGGCTTCTTTATGAGGAAAAAAGCAGTTCACTCAAAGCAGTTCCCAAATATTAAAGTGATCTGCCTGTCCTTCTATTCTCTCAGCACACTATCTAGAATCTCAGTTAGTGTGATTATGCCAGTCCACTGCCTTTCATATGTGTCTGAATCTTCAGCTATTTTAGGAGTTTCAGAAACCAGACAGTACAATAGCCTCAGTGTTGGATCAATGTTGATCAAATGCTGGCATGCTACCAACTAAGTAATTTGTGACTTGGGGCACATTACTGAACTTTAATTTCCTCATGGGGGCAATAATTCCCACCTCATATAGTTATTGGAAAGGATTAAATAAACTACCACTGGCAAGTCTCTGACATGAGTGTATTTACTCCATGAAAGTGAGTCTTCCTCCTCACCTCTGATCCTCCCCCTTCTGGAGAACAGAAATTTTTTTCATATTTGAACAGCTTAAGGTGGCTGGCATAATGCTTGTACAAGATAATTCTCAGTAAGTGCCAAATTGAACCTTATATTAAAATATGAGCTATTTGTTGCCAAAGGAGTGTTCATGGAGGATAAAAAAGCACAGGATAAGATTTTGAGGTTGGAGAAGTGCTCCAGAATGCAGTCTCAGAACTCACTTCTGTCTACACTCTGTAAGTGATTGTTTTCCAGTTCCACAGTCTTAAAAATCATCTACCTAGTTATACCACTAGTATACTTTTCCGTACCTCTCCCATGAATTTAACCCTCCCACTGCTTAATCAACCTCTCTACTCGGACATCTAGGACGCATCTCAAATTTAACATGTTAAAAACCAAACCTCTTTTGGTTTTGTTGACTGTACCTCTGAAACAAATAATACATTATATGTTTAAAAAAAAAAAAAAGAAGAAGATAGCAGGAAGGGAAGAATGAAGGGGAGAAAATCGGAGGGGGAGATGAACCATGAGAGACTATGGACTCTGAGAAACAAACTGAGGGTTCTAGAGGGGAGGGAGGTGGGGGGATGGGTTAGCCCGGTGATGGGTATTAAAGAGGGCACGTACTGCATGGAGCACTGGGTGTTATGCACAAACAATGAATCATGGAACACTACATCAAAAACTAATGATGTAATGTATGGTGATTAATACAACATAATAAAAAAAAAAGAGGTTTTGAAAAAAAAAAAAAAAACACCAAACCTCTGATTTCCCCCGACAATTCTGCTTCTTTTTTTCCTTACACTCCTCATCAATCTGCAGCAAACCTTGTAGGCTGTTCTTTCAAATTATGTTCTAACAGCTTCTTATTACCTTCCTCGTTATCACCCTTGTCCAAAAGCCCACTAACTCTCACATGGACACCTGTATATTCAGTGGTCTCTCAGCTTCTACACTTACCAACTTATAATCAGTCTTTTATGTGGTTGACAAAGTAATCCTTTTAAAATGTAAATCTGATCAAAAGTCTTTGATGTCTTTCATCTCTCTTAGAATAAAATCTGTGGTCTACAAAATCTGCCCTTGGTTTCCTCCCCATTGATTTCCTACTGCCTGCTCTTCCCCTCACTCTAGGCTCCCTGCCTTCTTGTTGTTCCTCTAACATGCCAAGCACACTTCCGTCTCGGCCTTTGCACTTCCTCCAATATTCACATGGCTCCGTTGAGATGTCGTTTCTTCCAAAAGGACCTAACCTTGCTACCTCCATCACTCTGTCTCTTCCACCTCCCCCCTTGCAGCTTTTTTAATACCACTTATAACAGTACCTAAATATCTACATATTTGTGTGTTACTGAGATATAAGCTTCAAAGGGGAAAGAACATTGTTTTGTTCACTGTGGTATTGCCAACGCCTAGAAAAGAGCCTGCCACACAGTAATCACTCAATAATTCATTTAATAAATCAATTTGTTCCTACTATTGGTATTCTGATTTACTCGGCAAATGCTGAGTTAAATTCCTTTATTGAAGAACTTTAATTTCCAATGTGCATCTCTAATAGGAGGAAATGACATATTTATTTAGGCTAAATTTATTTAGTCATGTAACTTTTTTTTTTGAAGAAGGAGCGTCTTTATGGTTGTGGGAAATTCATGCTATGAGGAACAGAGTTCAGGAACTGCTGTAGTATAGGGCATGACTTCCTATAGTGCCTTTTAGATTTTAAAAGAATTGACTAGTTTGTGCTGATTTACTGCATATCAGAAAGGTAAAGGCTGTTAATTTCCGATTCACTTTAAATTACACACAAGTATGATTTCATATCACATCTCTGCTCAACCATTTTACCAATACACTTTTAGCCACAAATATTATCTGGTCATCAGGAACATTTTTAAAATGCTTTATCTTATTCCACTCGGCAATATGTGAATTAATTATACACATAAATATGTATAAACAAAACATGTATAGATTAGTAGATATATAGGAAAGAAATACTGATATTCTCCCTCTTCTGCTTTCCTCATCTTTTTCTACATTTTCACCTCTTCCAAAAGTTGCCATAATTAGACATTAAAGACCATTTTACATTTTATTTTTTTCTTTAAATGCCATGATGTATTTTTTGCTTTTGGTTTAAAACTGAGTGACTCAAGGGGCACCTGTCTGGCTCAGTTGGTGGAGCATGTGACTTCTGATTTCGGGGTTGTGAGTTCAAGCCCCACATTGGGTATAGAGCTTACTTAGACATAAAATCTTAAAAATAAATAAATAAAAGTGGGTGACTCAAACCCTTTATTTTTTTTAAAGATTTTATTTATTTATTTGACAGAGAGAGACACAGTGAGAGAGGGAGCACAAGCAGGGGGAGTGGGAGAGGGAGAAGCAGGCTTCCCGCTGAGCAGGGAGCCCGATGCGGGGCTCGATCCCAGAACCTTGGGATCATGACCTGAGCCGAAGGCAGACGCTTAACGACTGAGCCACCCAAGTGCCCCCCCATTTATGTTTTTTACTCTCAAAAAAAATAAACTCAACTGTTTTTTACCTATATTGTTTATTGTGTCCTCTATGAAATACTAGCAGTAGCTATAAAAAAGGACGTGTACAAGATGGTATAGCTTTTTGCTGAGAATTTTTCTTAAAATCACAAAAGTAGGATAATGGCAAAAATAGATTTTTTCCCCCTCCCATGCATGATTATGTAGTTAGAACAGCTTATATAGGTGTAAAAACCTGCAATTACAACCCATTTCACTACTGGGTAATCAAAGAGGCAAAATGTTGTTTTCTGAGCCTTGTCTGAAACTGACAAATGAATGCATTAAAAGGAACCAAAACAAAATACTGTTTCTTTTTAGGCAGGTACAAATGAAGAGCTAAAGGGAGGAAGTGCTCATGTGATAAATCAGGTTAGTCAGGGTCAAATGTGTCAATAAATCATTTTAGAATTAACTAAAAGTGAATTGTACATTTTAAGAATATTGTGGTAGTTTGTAAGACTAATAGCCCCAAATTAATTGTACCTCCATCAACCCACACCCGTGGGCAGTCCACTCCCGCACTAACTCTAGGCTTGCCTACCTGATCTGCTTTGCCCAGTGGGACGTTAGCAAATGTGATACAAGCAGAGGCTTGCAAAGCTTTGTACTTGCAGCTTGCTCACTCTCTTCCTGATGTTGGAACTCTCTCTTGCTGTTTTTGAGCTACTCACACTCTGTTGAAACCATGAGATGATTTCAGTCTCATGAGTGACCTCAGGACAGACCAAGAGAAGAAGTGCCCAGCTGATCCCAGTCCAAACTGCTGACTCACAGAACTGTGAGAAAATAGGATGGCTAATTTTTAAAGTGGTTTGTTAGGTAGCAATAGATAACTGATGCAAATATAAAACTGTATTGCTGGCAAGTACTTATTACTTTCAAGTCTCTTCAGTGACTAGGAAAATATTACTTAGTGGGGCTTTGGCATAATGAAAACATGAATATATGACTATTAAAATTCCAACTAACGTCACCATTTGTTTGCTTTACAATTGCATAGAGTTTTATCTTAAATCCACAGGTCTTTAAAGTTCATCCTAATTAGGTAAATATTCCCTTTAAAAGGTAAAATGTATGTACAAATGCCTAGTACTGTAAAAGTGTTTAGAATATGTAGGTGGCCAACAAATTTCCTTCTTGAAATCCATCTGAAGCTTTTAATTGCTTAGCAAACTGTTCTCTTCCCAGCATGTATGTCTGAATTAAGTACTTAAGTGGGACCCTGATATTCATATGGGCCAATTTATTTGTATGTGGACCATTTTAGTACAAAAGTCTGCTCCCTTAAGCCAGATCTTCTTCCAGTGTTTGCTACTCCAGTGCAAGACACACCACCACTGGAAATCTAGTAGTCCTCTATAACAATTCTTCCTTCCTTGCCCCATTCTTTCTCTACTTAAGCTACTGTCATTTGACCATCCTCTCCTTTCCGTCTCAATCCTCGGTATCCTAATCCAGGCTTATAGTCTGGACCATTGTAGTCACCTCCTAGTCTCTACATTATTCTGACCCATCCCTCCTGCACCAAACCCATTCTAGTCACAACAGTCAAGAGTGATCTTTCTGGAAGGTGAATCATATGCTCATGCTTAAAATATGCTGACGGTTTCCCAATGCTCTGTGAATAAAACCCAAATCCTTTATCATTTGTTACTTCATAAATATAAATTCAAAACAAACTCGAGATCCTTCTTTCTATTTGTTTCCTTATCATCAATAATCTTACTTTTCATCCTCTTTGATAATTTATGCTCATATTTACCTTCTCGGTGTAGGACCTGCCACTCTCCTGCAATCCAGGCCTTCCTGGACGCGTACAAGATGGTATAGCGTGTCACCACGGTCTCTGGACCATCAGGTGGTTTCCAAGAAACCAGAGCAGTGTCATCTTCTATCAACGTCACTTTTACTCCAACTGGTGGGCCTGCCGGTGCTGTGCACACATGGAGAAAATACTGTATTACCAGGATTAAATGGTGATAAACACTCAAAAAGCTGGCTAATAGACTGAAAACTCAGGGAAGAGTGTGAAAAACTAGAAACCACTATAAAAACATCTCAGAATCACAGCTTTTACAGATCATTAGCAATAAGAGAAAAAAACACTATTATTGTCTTTTTTTTCTGAGAGCTAATTTCATTTTTATAATGTTTAAAACATCAAAAAAAAAAAAAAGGAGATGGTAGATTCCTAGATGGAGAATTACTAAGTCAAAGGGTGTAAACATTTTTAGGGCTTTTGATATTGTTTTGCCAAATTGATAACTAGAAAGTTTTACAATTCCACCAGCAGCACCTGCCCATTAGGTATTGAGTCTCACCCCATTAGGTATTGAATCTAAACTACATTTCTTACTAAAACGTACGGAATATATATTTCACCTGATCTAGGAAACCACTGAAGAAAATACTTCTGAGACCAAAACATTTAGTTATTCTCCAAAAAGTTGTGAATCAGGGAGTTTACAGGGCAGACCTTAGACTAATACTTTATATCTGCAAAAGTAGTCAAGGCTTGGGATTTTAGTTGACCACATGTTTAGTATGAGCTAAGAGTGTGAAGAGCTGGTTTTTGGCATCACATCCTATATGGAATATAGCCAAAACTACAGCCAACAGGCACTATGCTCGCTGAAGTTCATGTCTTTGCTTTGCTTTCTCTTAGCATAATTAGAATAGAGTTGTGATGGTCCTTACATAGATCATTTACCCCCTCACCCTCATTCTAGAGAAAAGGAAATGCAGGTCCACAGACATGAAATACCTTAGCGAGAGACATAGATAAGCTCCAGAAATGGTATTCTATCAGATATCCTATCCACTGCACTGTGCACAGCATCAAGCCACCACACACATTACTTCTAACATGGGCTCCCAACATCATTAAGTACACTATTCACTTACTTCCATTTTAAATTATTTGGGTACAGTCCTGAAGAGTACACCTGATTTTAGAAAATGTGTTTCCCCAAAGAGACATTAAATTTAAGCCCACTGGCTTGTGTAATATATACAGTGAGAGGAAAAAACATTTACTATAATAAAAGAAAATACATTTCAAAAGTTAAGAAACAAAACAAATGCATACATGTTAACCAGGGTGGTAACTGGGTAGTATCTTCTTTAAAGACATATCTATTTTTTTAAAAATTTTATTTATTTATTTGAGAGAAAGAGAGAACACGAGCAGGAGGAGGGGCAGAGGGAGAAGCAGACTCCCCGCTGAACAGAGAGCCTGACACAGGGCTCGATCCCAGGACCCTGAGATCATGACCTGAGCTGAAGGTAGACGTTGAACCAACTGAGCCACCCAGGTGCTCCTAAAGTGACATATCTATTTTTTAAACATTTAGATAAATGTCTGTACCTTCTGGAAGGGTCGAATGGTAGACAACGGGGCTCCAGGGGCTAGAAAGCTGATCCACATGCAGTCGTACAGCAAATTCATATTTGGTGTTTGGTTCTAGACCTTGAACCAACATGTGAGTTTCTGATCTATAAAATGAGTAATGAAGTTGTTAATGCTGGTAGTACTTTGTTTCTAAAAGATTATCAGTATTTCCAGTCAATACAGGTAAGCATACTGTTATTATCATCTCATTTTCTTTAAAACCAATTTTTTAGACTAAAAAAGCAATCTCCTCTATTAAAATACTATATTTGGTATTATCCTATAGAAATTAGCCTACAAATCGCCTCTCTGAAACTATGAAATTAGCAGTATAGAAATATCCCAATACAAAGGGATTTCCTCTGAAATACTGGAAGTCAAATCACTCTTTTAAACCATAATGATGGGCATTTTTCTAACTATAACCAAGAAGACAAAATAAGCTTTATTTTTTGATGCCAGCATGAAAGTGGTCTTTTGTTTTTTCCTTTAAACATGCTAAGTGTAGCCACTTGAAAGTAATAATATCTTCTTGCCTAATCTTGTTGCATGAGGCTGAGGAAACAAACAAACAAACAAAATTCATTTATAGAAACTAAATGTCAGAAGATGCAGTTTTCACAATGAATATGGTAAAGATACAAAACTCCCAGCCATTTCATAAGTAAGGTAAGTCCTGACAGGTGCTCACAGCTAAAGGTCAACCTGGCCCAAGATGGTAAGAAATAAGTGGGCAGAGGGAGAGCAGCAAAGAAAACCACCATTAATAGAAGCTACATACGTCTGAAGGTACAGAACCAAAGAAGCGTTCTGCAGGCCAACAGGGTTACAGCGGATGGTGTAGTTAACTATTTGTGCAGTGGTGAACGCAGGCCTCCTCCAGTGCAGGAAGATGGAAGATGAGGTGTTAGCCTTCGCATAGAGATGGTGGGGTGGTGGTGGTGGAGGAACCATGCGATCACGGACAGCTATCAAAAAACACAATGTTAATTTACTGTACAGCATATTATTGCAGAAAGTGATAAAATGATGAAATCACAATTCCCCACCCTATTCATTGACTTTAGGTCTTTCTTTCATTAAAGAGGTTCACAGACACATCTAGGGATGTATCATTCAATTATGAGCAACTCTTCCATGAGTTAGATAAGGAATCAAATATTAAAACAGAAGCACCAAGAAGACAAACTACTAGCCAAAGACATTCAGAAGGCCAGCAATGGATTTAAAACTAAACTGACACCCTCTCTTCAGCGGCAATAAACCAAACAGGTCTTAGCTGCAGTAAAACTGAACACTGTAACTGGAAGGAAATAAATAGCATCAAGATTAGAGCAGACAGGTATTCAGGGTTATTTTTCCCAGTTAAATTACTAAAGGTCTTTTGCTTGCAAAAGTAAAATAAGTTCTTATAATTAAATACATCTCAAATATTTAGTTTGAGCATGTACTTGTTCAAAATAACTATGTTAGGTGCCACGAAGATAGAAAACCACCAACGATTCCAAGTAGTAATGAGACTTAAATTTACATAAGGAAGCAGAGAACAAGGACCGTGAGGCATACAGAGTGAAACGTGCTGCCCTAACTCTTACTTACACACGCATCCCGGAGTGCTGACTGTCTGATCTGCTTGGTAGCCATCTTCTATGTTGTCGTAAGCCAGCAGCCTCACGTGATACTTTCTTCTGGGGTCTGTAAAGAAACTGACAGGTAATAATTTGGTCCTGCCCTCCAGATATCAGCCCTCCAAAGCCTTTGCAGATTTTGGTTTAAAAATCTTTTGGATGCCTAACAGTTTTATGTAAACTGAGATGTTTTTTCCTCTCTCTATCCTACATGGTGACTCAGCAATTCACCTCCTTGTGACATTGCTACTGTGACTATCTACCATTTACAATTTTACTTAACCTCTCTTCAAACAATAACATTAACTCTATTACTCTTCGTCCTCCTCAACCGACCAGAGATAGATTCTTGATCCTAAAAGCCTTGGGGGTTGCCTGATGGATCACTTGTAAGAGGTTACCCTACATAGAAGTTTTTTGTTTAGTTATTGGAGGGTTAGCTACCTTCAAAAGCATGGAAATCAAAGCGAGCTTATTTTCTCCCTCAAAGGTAAAGATAATTATAATTGCCACCCTTTCGTACCTTTAAAAAGTTTTATATGTGTAATTTAAGTTTATTTCTATGTGTGCCCTTTTCCATTAACTATTTTCAGGTTGACAGCTAAATTTACCAAGAAAGAGGAGTTGGAGCTCCCTCTACTGGTGCTCATTAACTGTCACAATATGAAATCCAAAGTCCATCCCATGCATACGGAAACAAAAAATTTTTCAGGTTTTTGAGGAAATAAATGGTCATACATTTTAAATGACATGTTTTAGAACATATTCGAGTTTAATGATATAAATACATTTAAATATAAATACTTATGATAACATTTAATTATAGAGTACTTGCTTGGGACAAAAATAAATACTATTGAGAAATAATGTTTTTTCTCCCCAGCTTTGCTGAGGTACAGCTGATGAACAGAAGCTGTATATACTTAAGGTATATGAGTTGATGTTTTACATATGTATACATTGTGAAGTGATTTCTACAATCAAGCTCATAAACATATTCTATCATCTCACATAGTTACCATTTTTGTGTGGGTATGTGTGTTGAAAACAAGATCTTAGTAAATCTCAAGTATATAATACCGTATTGATAAGTATCATCACCATGCTGTACATCAGATCTCCAGAACTTAATTCATCTTGCATAAGTGCAACTTTGCACCCCTGAGCAGCATCTCCCCATATCCCCCAGGTAGCCCCTGGCAACCACCATTCTACTCTCTGCTTCTATGGATTCAACTATTTTGCATTCCATACATTCGTGAAATCATGCAGTAACTGTCTTTCTGTATCTGGCTTATTTCACTTAGCATAACATCCTCTAGGCTCATTCATGTTGTGCAAATGGGAGGATTTCCTTCCTTTTTAAGCTGAATATTCCATTGTGTATACAGGCCATATTTTCTTTGTCCATTCACCCATCAGGAGACATTTAGGTTGTTTTTATATCTTGGCTACTGCGAATAATGCTGCAATGAACATGGAGGTGCATAACAGTTCTCTCTTCAAGATACTGATTTCATTACCTTTTGATATATACCCAGAAGTGGGACTGCTGGATTATATGGTAGTTATATTTCTAAATTGAATATATTTCTATATTATATTTCTCTAAATAATAATAAACATACAAACACATCCAATACTTCATAAGGGAAAAATCATCCTTGAAAGATATATCCAATGTGGAAAAAATTTAGAATAAAAAAAGATAAAAATAATTCTAGAGTGAATTTAAACATTTAAAAATCGAAAAATAAAGGTGCCTGGCTGGTTTAGTTGGAGGAGCATGCAACTCTTGATCTCAGGGTTTTGAGTTCATGTACCTTAGCATAAGTAGCACATAGAGATTACTTAAATAAACTTTAAAAATAAAATTCAAAAATTCAAAAATAAAATGTGAAGTTTATTAAAATCTCCAAAATAATTTAAGAGTCTGCACATTTTAAAGACAGATGTATTCTATTATTTAATATTAAAGTACATTAAAAGGATGTCCTAAAATATAAAATTTTTATTTGTTTCAATTTGTTTTGACAAAATTAAAACCACAAGAAGAAAAATTTATACAACTTAGGACATTTCTATACTTTTTAGGTAGGAAGTAGGAAGACTAATATTCGATTATACTACAGAAAATGGTATCTTATATGAGTAACACAAAACTCTTATCAATGTTCTTCCCATTCTATAAATGGTGGTACCAAGGTGTTAAGTAGCGTCTAGTGTTACTCAAAGCTAAACCAAGGACTTGCTGATATTTTTATCACATGTGCTTTTGTTACAGCAGGTAAGTCTGTCTCCTTATAATGAATTCTAAAACTGAAATATTTTCAAACATTTTATAAAATAACTACAGAAATACATTTGGACTTCATTACTCCAATAATTTCCAACATTAAGCACTGAAATTCTAAGATTCAAAGATTTCTGTTCAGATTAACGGCAACTTAATTTGAATCTGTGTTCATCTTTCTTTCCTCCTAACATATTGCTGAGCTTGTTAGGCAACTGAATCCTGCGCGCCATCTTACAAATACTCCTTCTGAATGGGTACAAATGGAATTCATTCGGCTCTCTGCAGTCTAGTTCTTCAAACATATTTCTTCATTCTGTCTCTACTCAGAAGAGTATCTTTAAGGAAAGTCTCCTGAGTGTGGGGCATTGTGCCAGGAATTAGGAGATACAGAAAAAGAAGGCTGGATGAGAGAGAGTTTGCCCCAAGTAGCTCACATTCTCAGGGAGCCAGAACGCGGATACGGTCCGCTCTCACCGAAAGTGGATTTTGATGAGGGTTATGAGTATGGGTGGAGAGATTAATCTTTTTTCCACTGTGCAAACAATCAATCAACAGTTCATGAAATTTCTCTAGAACAGTTATTTATTTTTAGGACTAAAATTGATTCTTCATTTTCCCTTCTTCGTCTTTAAAAAAATGAGCTGCTTGCATTAAATTTTAAACCCCAAATTAACCTTTTCTGGTTGATGAGCAGCAGGGTACATGTCCTGAGACAATGAGAGAAGAGCGCACCCAGCCCTTGTACAACCCACTCAGCATGGTAACAACCCAGGTCTCCTGCTGCTCATCTGGAAATCATCCAAGTCACTGGAGCAGACACCTCCAGGGCTGGGCTCCTTCCCCTCTTAGTTTCCATGAGGTCAGGAAAAGGCAAACCATTAGGCTGGCAAATCAAGTACATCAGGTGCACAGGAGTCCTCTCTATCCGCTCACAAAAAGTACAAGAGCCAGGATAATTTTGGAAACCACTTTAGTGGAAAAAAACATTAATGGGTGCATTAATGTTTTATGCATCCATTAAACATTTGTTTACATGTGATCAACTCTTTATGCTCTTCAAAGAATCTCATTTATTAAAACTAAAGTGCCAGGTTGGGAGCCAAGCTAAGCAGCGGGCCATGCTCTCCTCTTAAGCCCTGGGAAATAGGACTTCAACCTCAAAATCTAGTCACATTATTTTGGTTTGTTAATCCAGAGACCCTGGAACAACATGGCTCATGTTTATGCATCAATTTGTTAGAAATTTGATGTCATGGACCCAGGGGACCAGAGCCCTCAAATAATGTTAAAATGAGCACTATCAGGTAGTAAGAGTTATCAGCTAAAAAAGAAAACAGAGAATAGCTATACAATTAACAAAATTAAAAATGCAGAGTAAAAAAAATCAGAGTTTAAGACCAACATGTTAAATGTAGTTAAATGCACAAATAACGTACCTTAGTATAAGTAGCACAAGTCCTAAAACTCTACAGTTCTGAAAAGACCCTCCAATGTATAAAGTACAAAGCAGAGACCCAGGATCAACACTGTGAAATGCCACAGGGAACCAGTTTCCAAGGCCTGCTAATAGCCCTTCTTGAGTCAAACATTGCCACGTCTGTGGTGCTTGGTTACACAAGACTCAGCAGACTTAGGGAATGTGGTTTAAGGGGAAAACAGCAGAGTCAAGAAGAGCAGCCACAAAGAACAGTATAGGCCTTCCCAAAACCCAGTGAGGGGAAAAAGGAGGAAGGGAAAGAGGGGGGAGAGTTCGTCCCATTTCCTTCCAAACTCAACACAAGGGGCATAAAAATCACTCATTGGGGCTAATCCTTAATGGTCTCAGGAGTGATGGCTCAGACAGGTAGTATTTGCATTTAACTTACTTAAAGATTCAGCAATACGTAAAGATGGAGGGCCAGGAAAGAAAGCTCAAATTAATTTAACGTGAACCTCCAGTGAGTGTCAGCTTAGGTTAACAGAATCGTGGTCCCAGCCAGATTAACTTGTACCTTTATTACGGAGTCAACCTTTGGCCAAAAAATGATCTCCTTCCTGAAACACTGCTATGGCCACACTCCTCTTTTCTCCTCTGGCTCTAGGATTTGCCTTACCTTCTTTCCTTTCTGATTCATTCTCACCACTAACTCTTCCACTTTAGTTTGTTTCACATGAGGAGAAATCAGAACCAGAAGTCTGGCTGGCCAAGAAAGAGCTCACAGGTATCAAATAAACATTTATCAAATGCCTACTAGAAGCCAGACATTATATGAAGACTCAACAATTAGAAAGTTGTAACTCTTGGGGCACCTGGCTGGCTCAGCCAGAAAAGTGTGTGACTCTTGATCTCAGGGTTGTGAGTTTGAACCCCAGGCTGAGTGGAGACATTACTTAAATAAATTTTTTTTAAATAAAAATGAAAGCCATAGCTCGTGCTTTTCATTTTAATCTACCAGAGTATAGACTGATAAATGAATATTCTGTAAATAGTATTTACTAACCGTTTAGCCTTGCATGTATTTTTTAGTTTTCTAAGCCTTGCTTATTTTCATTTGGAAAACAGACAAATAATCCCTTACAGGGATTTTAAGAGTATTAAATGAAATCATGGCTGTTAAGGACTTTGTACAGTCCCTATAATTAGTAAGCACACAATATTATTATTGTTGTTATTATAATAAGGAAAGTTGCCCAGGAGAACAGAAAAGGTTCTTCCAAAAATATGGTACACTTAAATTTGGGAATCATCTTTGTGAAGGCAAAAAATCATCAAGGATGCTCATTCATACAAG